AATAAGAATCGAAAGAAAATATAAATATGTGTGTGTATGTGTGTGTGTGTGTTTGTGTACGCAAGCACGCTGCACCTGAAAAAATTCGGAGAAGATTTAAGGTTTTGTTGCTATTTAACTAATATTACGCACACCCTATTATTGTTTTTTATAACGGTGAGGGAGAGGAGTTAATACAGTAAAATATGTTTTAAATCTCCCTATAAACCATATAGACTAAAAAGTATAATATAATGTGCCTATAGTTAAAGTAATTACGTCCACAGTTTTATATTTTTTACTATTGAAAACTAAAGAGCATATTTTGTTTAATACTATATATATTATGAATATTTATGATAATATGATAATATATATTAATAATAAAAAATACTTGTTATGTAACCGAGATAAAGGCGACTATAGGTCGGCTCTGCCACACCGAACAGCGTTATCGTCAGTCTACATTTTTCCGTTTATTGTAAAACCTCATGCAGGACAACGCCGTCCAGCTGTTTAAAATTTAAAATTAATCAAAATCTACAATTATAACAAATTAAATTGTTAACAAAAATAATTAATAAATGAGGTGCTCAGTGTTAAAATTATTAAAAATCTAAATGTATTAATATTTCCACTATAAGTGCCATTTTAGTATTAATGAATAATGAATAATATGTATTGGTGTTTTGTTGACTCCAGACTCCAACAGTTGACTTTATATTTGACGTAAATGCATTAATATATAATATAATACCCACTTTCAAAAATGTAAATAAATTATTTTCAATACAGTAATAATATATTATTTCTGATTTTCTAATTTTATATTTCAATCAAAAAAAATAATTTTTATTATTATTATTATTATTATTATTGATAGAATAAATTAAATATATAAAACAACATTTTAAACTCAAATGACTAAATTAGTTACAACTTAAGATTTAAAATATCCAACGTACAATTAAAACAACTTTCTTGCATAAGTAAACTTATATACTTAAGTAATTAACCTTAGTATATTATAAAGTTCAATACACTAACACATATATAGTTTAACCTGCAAGATTAAATTAACATATAAGTACAATTTGTAACCATTTTACCATCAGAAAATCTATCAAAAATTGACCATTCCCTTAAAATGTGCATGTATTATTTATACGTTAAATTGATAAATTAATGACAAGTGACAACTAGGTAATACAAATATTGAAATATCTACAAATTTAAAAATACATATGCATCTAGAAATAGTGTATACTCTATATTATTGTACATACATAATACATTTATTACATTTTGTTGCTTCCATTACCTCAGAGTATATAAGAATTAATTGCAAGATACTGGCATAGTAGTTCATATTATTTTTATTATGAATAATTAAATGTTCGAATTACTTCAGTAAAAAAATGTCTACAGGGAAAACAAAAAAAGATACAATCGTAATGCAAGTCCCCTATTGTATGTTCATTCGTTAATCACAAATGCTCAAAATCAAAAACTAATAATAATGCCTATTATTGTACCCTAAGATGTAATAAATTGTATTTATATTATATAATATGGCTTGAATTTATTAGATTAAAACTTATAACATATGAAAAAATTTGTATGAAGATAATTAATATAGTTTTATTTTAGAGTAGTTTATACATTATGTACCTACCTACCTAGTTGAGTCATATATAACAGCTTTACAATAAATACGAATTGTGCCATCGTCTCATCTTTTGAATTCTTGTTTAAAAAAAGATTGACTTTCTGCGAAAGTTTTTAATAGTGCAATAGTGAAATGTTGATTTATTTTTCATCACTTGTACAAAATGTTTTAGAATGAGTTTCTCACTGGACAAATACAATCTAACCATTATGGAGAGCTATTAAATATATTTAACTTGTAGGGAAACGAGTTTTCTAGTAGCTATTACCATTGTGAATTTGTGCCAAGTTTCTTTATGTAAAGCGTGCATATTATGGTTTTTCAAAATATACATAATTCGTTTGATGTATAATATATTGCATTACAATAATTGATTTCAAATAATCAAAATAAAATAATAACCTAAAAAAGTCTGTGCGTTACATAATATCAACATTTTGTTAGATAGATTAATTTATGCTGACCAGTAACCTGCGCCGTGAGTAAACCGTGGTTTTCTCACTGAATTATTTTTATCCCACACTCTTAGCGGCAATCGAGTAATTTATAGTACTTTGGTAATATTCACGTTATTGGGTTAACTATACTAAGAGACGATTAAAATCATATCAATTTTCCGTGGCGTATTTATTAGGACTGAAGCGCCGAGAATCGATTACCTCAGGCCCCGCCAGTGTATAAGTATATTATATTATATATACCTAGCGTTAATAATCACCCGACCGATTTTGTCCGCTCGGGCTTCGTCAGAAAATTAAAACCATGTGATGCTTATTTGTCAATTAATGGTTTTATCGTCATTTTTTTTTTTTAACCCCAATACATCCGAGATTTATACTGGCGATCATGATTGAACAGTGTCTGAAACCGGTCCGACTGGAACACTGTTAACGTTTTGATAGGGTAAAAAAACAAATAATAACCGGTAAGACAATGGTACCCGTATTACTATAGCAAACGAAAAACCCGATCAATGGAAGGTGAACGAGCACGTAAAATAGCGAAAACTAGGCTACATACTCCAGCCGATTGCGTCTTGAATTGTATAATGTTTGTCTGTCTGCAGTGGTCTCGTCACCGAGGATATAATATTATGAACAACCGAAGAACATGTCTTTCTATGTAGTACACTAGTATGTACATATAATTCGCATTACTCGTAATATCGAAATAGTATTGGTTTTACTAAAAATCTATTTGCGCAGATGCGTTCGTAAGTACAATTATATAAGCTTCAACCAAAAGCAGTTAGTAAAAATGATGTTATTAGGTACTTATTATGTTAATGATATTAGTTGTTATGTTTTATCTTTATGATAACTACCAAGGAACATATTTCCTAGCATATAAGCTATACAAGCGTATAGGAGAAAAAGTTAATATTTTTTATATACGAAACAAACAAATAAAAAAACGATTTTTTTTACATTTTTATTCTGTAGGTAGGTCGTAGGTCGTAGGTATCCTAGTTGTTGAGATTAGCCGTTATATTTGTAATTTAAATACAAAACCATTACGATGACATAACACTATGTCATATTCGTATACATTATATAATTCAAAAGTAATTTAAAAATACTTAATGTTATGATGTATATTTTAACGTCTCGTAATAATAAAATTGTCTTTTAACAATTATTATTTTAAACCTATTTTCATTTTGATTCGGTACAGTCGCTAGTCGGACAACAATATATATGTTCTATTCAAATATTAGAATAGTTCGTACATGCCAGCGAAGAGAATCGTTTATGGTCAACGGACGGACTATACGGGGGCCTCGTGCGTGAAATTTCCACAGACGAAATTAAGACATCCCCTAGGTATTAGCCTTTAACAATGAAATCAGAGAATGATAAAAAAAAATGTGAGTAGGTATTTCCCATTAGCCTGTGATGTGTGCATATAGAAATCGGCCGTGAAGCGAACCTAACTGACGGCACTTGTCCGGAACAATGCCATATTTCAATAAAGTATGGTTTTTGGATCTCTCTGTGTATATTTATATTATAGTGCACATCCTTGGAAAATTGATTGTTTTTGTTGCTTCTGTGTAAGTAAACAACGATGGGAATCTTAAATCAGCCATTTAATAGAATGCTATAATGCTATAATATACATTATATTGAGTGTAGACGGATGTACGAATATATTATATTATGCATACCCATTTACCGATATTAGTAGTAATATTTCTTAATAAACCATTTCAATAGTAAATTCTATATCTTCAACTACCTATAATTTAAAAGCGGCAGGGCAGGAGCCAGGAATACTTGTTTGTTATCACCCAAGCAAACATTCTTACGTCGTGTATCTATAGGTATTCCAATAAATAAAAGTAAATAATTACAATTATAATAAAAATATTTTATTCTATACCACTGATTCTAGCACAAATAATAGGTTATATTTCATAATTACACGCAAATTAACACAACAATAAATAATACGATTCCATAAAAATGTATTATCTACATTTAAATTATATGTTTCTATTGTAAAACACTGCAAAAAGAATTGCAGATCAATAACTCAAATAAGATATTTTTATTTTTTAGTGTTGGATTTAATTTTTGGAAACTTATGTTTAGTGTTGAATGAAAATTATTGTAGGTACAGAAAATAAAAAAACATTAAGTAATTAAAACTTGAAACTACAAGAAGCACCTAATTTTCAATTGTTGTTGACGGATCAAGGATATCGACATCATATAATAATTAAATAGCATACTGATAACTTAAATACCATAAACGGCAATTGATTAAACTATATGCCAACGGTAAATATTAAATAGTATAATTTATTTGAATATTTATTACATAACATTAGATTATTGTTACATTACATTATTGTGGAGCTTTTAATCAACATCAAACATATTGTACACTGTACACTGTACATGGTTCATATATGTCTTCCATCTGAGTCCGTTGACCGTTGTTGTTTTTAAATTTTTTATATTTATTTTTTTATTTTTTGTAATTAATTATTATCATCTCCAGTCGTAGGCGTATCTCAGGCTTATTGCGTTAACCTCCAAAGTCCATGGCTCCAAACGGCTATGGATTATATCCTCACGAAACCAGTATAGGTACGTTCCGTCGTATAATATATACATATATGTGTATAAACTATACATGAATTTAAACGCATATTTGTATTAATGTTCTCGTACACGTTATTAGTTAGTGGGCAATAAATTTTAGCAGTCAAACCGGACATTTGGGTGCCTCCTGATAATAATTGATTTGTACACCGAGAAAACTATCTATTGAAACACCTCTATAGGTACATCTCGTTTGCCAGTTTCCGACATTACATCATGTTATAAATATATAGAATATATTATTACCTGGCATTCATCGACGGGGAATGACCATCTTCAGACAACGGTTTCCTGTGTAAAAATAAAAATAATATAAATTAGAAGAAGAGTAAAAATATATATACAGGTATATAGTACTGTAAAGTTATATTTTATACATTTTTCTATATTGTACAATGTATTAAAATAGGCACAGTATTTTTTTCTGTGGTAATTATTACTTAACAAAACACTTCATTCACAACGTAGTTCATAATAAATAACAGCACACATTATAATATGTGTGGCGTGTACGGTGTACCTGCAGCACAATATGTATAGGCACTTTTATCTGAAAATGTACAGCATATTTATTTTAGAAGTATTGCACATTATGATTTCAAGGTTAACTTGTTAAATGTAATGTTATTTATTCGCAATGTAAATGTAATGTAAAATAGACAATTAAAAATATTTCAATTTGTATATGAATAGGTACAATATTATTAAAATGTTTTAGATTATTTTAATTTGTATATGAATAGGTACAATATTATTATGTTTTAAATTATTTTAATTTCGTCAAATATATAAATAAAATAGGTATAGTTAAAATTAATTGTTATGAAGAATCATTAATTCTTTCTTTTTTAAATGCTTTTTTGAATAATTATTACTTATTAGTTATTACATTTGTGATTTTTGGGAAGGAAACATTAATAATATTAAAAATTATAATTTTATCACAGATTTTAATTTTATTTCTACATCCCCACTGCAGGTCACTAGTATGTATTAATTAGGTACATTATATTTGAAGAAGGTGATTAATGATTATAGTACACATTAAATAATTATGATCCTAGTATAAATACTTGATTTTACACTGCAGTTTATACTGTATTTTCTATTTTTTATTTTATGTTAGCTTATCACGAACAATACATAATTTTTTTTGGAAATATCATATTTGAATCAACGTTTTTAACTTAAATTTAGTACATGGCTTATTGGCTTGTAGTGTTAATGTGTTATTTAATTATCTTGTGGTCACCTATCCGTGAAGAAGAAACTGGAGGAGCGGCTAAACACCAATACAGAATCGCAACTGGTGCGTTCCCTCGCTGTCATGCCATGCCCCAAAATATCTAATTAAAGTCTTTTAAATCATTAATTTCATATACTTAAAATAATTAGAATTATGGTAGGAGTATAAAAGTAGACAAGTAGTATATTAAATAGATAATTCGTCGATCATTTTAATCTAATTTAACAATTTATAAACTTCAAATAAAATTTACAATGTAGGTACAACTTTTCTAGAAATATACTATACATAAGTAACTATACCTTAATACAATATTTCTTAGTAAATTCTCCGCATTATAGTATAATATAATATTATATTATTATTTTATATTTTACAGAAAACTATACCATTTACTTACACTTAAATTATGAACCAAATTTTACAAGAATAGTTATGTATAATAATTATCTTTATTTATACTAATTAATATGTCACTGTTGGGTGGTTGCTTTTGTCAAGATTATCATGCCAAAAATTTAAAAATTATCCGTATGCAGTATGCTTAATGTAAAAAATAATATATCACAGATTGCAGTATAGTATAAAAAAAACAATGGTTTTTAGTGCACACATAAGAAACCGTAATAATTCATAATTGTAATAAATCTACATTGCGTCATTACCCTAATATCAAATTATACTTAATTTTATAAACTTATTTATGGAAAAACCATTTTGAAGCCCTTATGGACATTGATTTTTAGTTATTTTTTATAATTTAGCTGTTAACATTATACGTGGAGTAAACTATTTTTCTAAATGATTTTGATGTAAAATGTTTAATGATGTGTGTCGTATTTTAGGATGAATATTGCATGAATATTCTCTGGTTATAAATATTATAAAATAGGTTTGTATAATAATATTATATCGTCCACGTAGTAGTCAGTATAGGTACTATCTTCTGCCGATGGGAATAAAGGTAAACCAAAACTAATTCCTCATTATTAAGTTGTTATCGTTTAATTTAAAATAATATATATATTATTCATTTTATTTATTGATACAGTTTTGATATGAAGTTACATTATCCCTATTTATTACCTATATAAATTATATTTTTAATATTGTGCATTTAATTATTTTAAGATATATTGCAATTGAGATGATAATTCAAAAATATTATCATTAATTCATACGGGATATTTAGTAAAAAGGAAAAAAAAAATTATCTAAAAAATGGTTTAAATTCTTTGTTTATTTATAACGTTATAATATAGTGTTTGACTACCGTCCAGCAGCTTATTTTTTTAAAGTATTTACTGGTCAATTGGTACCAAGCGTAACTATCGTAATTAATAACAAGACATTTGTAATTTTTTTTTTTTAAGACATGTAATCTGTATGGGTTTAGTTTAAGTACCCTGGTTACTTTCTAAACGTCACACGGATGAAGATCACGTTACTAATGGATAATAATTAACCACAGATACGGTCACGGTATATATTATATGTATATATATATAATATATATGTGAGGACACGCGAGCTCTAAACCAAACATTACACTCTCGTAAACATTTATTATAGACGCGAGGTTCATTTTTTTTTCTTTGAAGTTCCTCCCATTAGATAGTTAATATAACTGTCTAAAAAAATGGCCACGCTTATAGTACCTGACGACTCCTTATACCTAGTTAAATAAATGTATATTGCTTAAAAGTCTATTAGTGGGAATACGAAATTAACATCAGTTAATGTTGTAGAGAATACTTATGGATTTTCAAATCATAATTAAAAATGTCGTGTTATGTTATTAAATTATTTATTCAAAAATTACACAAATGAGGAGTTTATAAATTATTTAAATACGTATGCATAACAACTAATAAAATATGTATGATATTAGAACTTTTAAAGTTATATTAAAAGAAAGAATATTGCATATTTAAAAATAGTATTACAGTTCTAATAACAAGCATAGAGTTTTATTGGTTTAATAATAATAAAATGTAAGATTAATTTCTTAGGAAACGTCACAGACGAGTGTGTTTTTTCCATTTTACAAACGTATATATTATTGGCTTTAATATTACATACAATTTACCACTTATCCAATTTGAAGGAAACAATACATTATCAATGTTCAATCGATTATCGTCGGTGTCATCGGATAATTCACGTACCTATACCTAGTACAAAAAGCCTATAACAAGTCATATGTTACTATTGTATATTAAAGTCATGCATGGGCTGATAAAAACGAATCCAATCCGACAGAAATGCTAAGTTAGTCCGACACCCATTCCAGTCCGGTACGAAAATCAGAAAACCCAGCCCAACCCGACCAGAAAAAAATGTATAAATCTCTACCAGATAGGTATTCTGAAAATTTACCCGGCATATTAAACTGAACATTTTGTGACAAACCAAATACAAAACTATTTTACAGGTGGCCCAAATTGATCTGATCCGAAAACGAATTCTTGTATTATATAGGTATATAGCCAAACCTATTTTACAGGTTGCCAAATTTTGATCCTACCCAAATATTAATTTTTGAATTAATTATGTAGGTATTTACAATATACTATAGAGGTTAAAAATGGCAAACTAGAAAATTTATAATTGAGATAATATGAATATGATTGAAAATCACGTATGAAGAAAACAAGTATAATGTGAAGATTGATGCAAAACCTAATTTTTCCCCAGCCTTACAATTTTAGAGTGTAATTTATTGACCATAGATGTACTGAAAACGCACACCTGCTATGATGCTATAATATGTTACATAAATAACAGAGGCACGTTCGTGAACTATATATGTTGGGTAATATATATATATATAACTGTTAAGAGTAACATTATTGACATCAGTATTACCTGGCATAGCAGTAATAAAAAAATAATAATTTTTACGTCAAGTCAATAATTGCCAATCGGTTACCCGAAAACAATATGAATAATATACGTTTGTACTGTTACAAATTACAATATATTATTATTATTATTATTATTAAACACTGGTATTGTTTTGAAATCACGTCATACAATCGTACGCCTTAGATATTATATTATGTGTGTGTGTGTGTGTGTATCTGGTGCCGTCATTACTCTTACACATTAGCCGACAGTGGTCGGTGGTGTGTCCGACAATATCGGATGACCCAGAACACAATGCACAAGACGCACGTGCCTGGGCTCATTTGTACGCTAAGTCACGTATTTACTGGCAGCTGCCATGCTGTGGTACGTGTGTATGCGTGTGTGTATATTCTCGCAGCTCCCGGTGAAACTTCGACCCTGAACGTTATATTTTGCATTAAACTTTCGGTCCGATGTACCACAGCATAAACTGACTCGTGCAACACAACTTTTACCTTCTCCTGGACATAACAATAATAATTGTTATTCGTGTGGTACCCGTGTACACCCCGTGCCCCACCCCGAGGTCTATACACAAGCTAGTTGTTCTGCAGGTACAGAATTATTTACATCTAGAAAAATGCACAATCTTCAAACGATAAAATATTATGTGATAACTACAGCTATATAATATATATAGTGTTTTATCACTCATTATAAAACGGTTTACTTAAAACCAAAACTTAAAGTGGGAGGGGGCGCAGATGTACTGACCTCAGTGTAGAGTTCTCTGCAGGTAGGTATAGCATGATATTTAAAAAGAAATTAAAAAGTTTCTCCTTAAAGATTTTATTTGTTGAAACGCTCAAATCTCACTTCAAATTAATGAACTTATTCAAAATTTTATTAATTTTCAAAAATTCACCCATCAAATATGATTTTTTATCGAAATATTTAGTTTGGCACAGAGTAGTAATAAATTGTGAGTTGTAATAACAACACTGGGTATTCAGTTTCTTTCATCGCATAGAGGTAGCTTTACAGTGCTTAAAAACAACGATAACTGATATCTATATAGTAAAGTAATTGTTATAATTATTAGAAAATGGCTTTATTTATTTAGGTATAATGTATATTACTTATACATTTTAGCCAACCCCGTATATTTGGATGCGATGAGTGAAGAGAAAGAAGA